GTGAAATAAAAATAACTCAAAATTTTATTATCACAATCACTTTTGTGTATTAAGCAAAAATCAATATTCACAATGGTTCCCATAACATACTTGAGTTTTATAATGCTTTGTTTACAATTAATAATTTTATTAGCTTTAAAAGTCAAAGTAAAAAATTATCAATTGATAATTTCCAAGTTTTAACATGTCTAGTAACATAATAAAAAATGTGCGCCATGCTTTGAAATATATATATTATATATTGTTAGAATAATCCGTAATATAAACATTTATCAAAATTGTTTTTAGATCTTCATGTTGTTTTTCACAAAAAATCATATATTTAAATCAGATGATTAAAATTAGAGAATTATCTGTTGTTGAACGTACCAAATTGACATAGAGACATTGGCAAATTTAGTTGATAGTATGCCTAGGAGAATAGATGCTGTAAAAAAATCTAAAAGGCTATCCAACTAATTATTAATAATACTAAAATTGATAATCCAAAAATTTCTCATCTTTAATTTTTTTTATTTCTCAATAAAACATTTGACCGCTCTTTACATATATGTATATATATTTCAAAACATTTTTTATTATGCTGTTAAGATGTGTTAAAACTTGACAATTGGGTTTAATTATTGAATGAAAAAATGATATAAATGTTTTACGTTTAATTTAAAATCTTAATAGTTGTATAATGAACCATTACATAAGTTTATTATATATATGTTCAAATCATGGCACACATGTTAAAACTTGGAAATTATCAATTGAAATTTTTTTACTTTGAATTTTAAAGCTAATAAAATTATTAATTGTAAACAAAGCATTATAAAACTCAAGTATGTTATGGGAATCATTATGAAGATTGATTTTTTGCTTAAACAAAAATGATTGTGATAATAAAATTTTGAGTTATTTTTATTTCACTTTGTTCAATTATTTCCGGCGATCTGCAAAATTGCCAATGTGAATGTAATAATCATTACATAAAACAAAGGATTACCCCAAGATCAGAACGTTTACTAATCATTAACACAAAAAAACAATTATTTGTTTGAGCGAAGGAATAAGAACAGGGAACAAAATTTTAACCCATACAATTGTTGATTGACCAATCAAAATCGTGAATTTGATAATGTAAAAATAAATAAATGTTGGTTTGATTCATTTTGTCAACAATCACTTCACCGACAGTTGTTTCGTTAACAAATGGTTTGAATTTAAGAAATTGGAAGTAACCATGCGGACAAACCTTTGAAATAGTCTAACAAATTAAATTGTACTACTCGAAAATGTATTTAAAGGGTTGGTCTTCGACTTGGTTGAAGAATAACTCTCTTCCTAACTCTTCTCTTGACCATATCTCTCGATATAACCAAAATAACTTTAATATAACGAATTTCAATATTTAAGATATACAATTAAGACAAAACATGAACGATGAAAAATCAAACAAATTTATTTAATAAAAACAAAATTACAACCCAAAAAAATTTTTTTTGCATGTCCTAATAAAGTTTTCCATTGTTGCTGCATCATTTATTGCTGTTTCAACGTTACCCAGATCATCATCGACTGTATTTTCGATATTTTCGATAAACTCATTTTCGTTTAATCTTTTCGTTTTACTTTCTTTTAGTGCGTTGACGTTTTTTTTGATTTCAACTTCAAGATAGTCCAAGATATCAAACGTTTAGGTTGGCTCCTTTGTAGACGATGATTGTGATAACCATGTCCACACGTAAAAAATGTTTGTAGATGGTTTTCTAGAAGTAACAAAGCCTTTGGAAGGTGACAATCGGTTATTTTGTAAACTAAAGAAGGCAATTTGTATGAGTTAATACCATTAGATGAAGTTTTAGCAATCAAGGAATACTGATTTCGTGCTTGATATATCTTCGTAAACACATCTAAAAGCAATACAGCACACTTTCGGGAAAGCATACGCAATTGCTTCAGTGTGTATGAATATTTCATAGAATCTATGAAATGTTGTCGAAAAGCATTATCCTTTCGATGCTGAAAAATAAAACGTGCCTCCTTTTTTGTGTTCATCAATATTTTAATAAAGATCTTTTATATATTTGTAAAATGACTTTAGACAAAACTCTTCGGCTACATTTAACAATTCCAATATATTGATCCCAGCAAGATTAATTAAATCAATATTACAAGTATATAATATTAAAATTATGTGTTTAATTAAAAATACACAATTTATAATAAATTTACTTTAAAATTGTTTTGAAAATTGGCCCACTGACATTTGGTATCTTAACAATAAAATGCCCATTTTCTTTTTTTGCAGAGAAGATATGTTTGAAAAATTGACAATGAACAAAAAGAACAAGCGAGTTGCATGAAATTCTGTAGTGTTTGGTTCTGCACCAACGTATATTTTAACATCATAATCCTCTTCCGAATTCAATAATGTACCAAATTGATTAAAATGTTCTTTGGACAATGTTGAGTCCATATTTGTTTTTGCTTTTTTTTTTAAGAAATATAGATATTCTAGAAAATACACTCCCCACCATAAAATATCCGACCAACTGATGATTAATAATTGGAAATGTTACTCCTTATTATTATGCAATTCAAAAATTTTATTAACCAAGCATTATTAACAAGATTTTAAGTTAAACGTCGCAATGAGCGAGCGGTGGCACGTGCACGAATTTATTTGTAAGTATTTTAATATTATATAATAAACAAAGCAATAATAATAGAACAAAAACAGAACAAAACGGCGGATTGTTTTTCTTCGCAGGAGAAGGAGTAGTAAACGCCAATTAACTAAATATTAATATTAATGTTAAATTGCTTGTTAAACCTTTTTTTTTTTTTTTTAAAAAAAAATTTACAAATGCAGAAAAGATTGATTTGTTCCACATAATAAATTTTTACCGCCTTATCAAATTTTGCAACCCTTCACTTCAGTATTAATCTTTTATATTCTTCTAATGCTGCTTTAGAGATCTTTAATTGAGCATGGTCAAAACCGAGAATATGACGACTCATTGCAACGTATATTTGTCCTTCGATATCGCGGTTGGGCTTGTTTTTATATATGGCGCTTCCACTAATTACACTATCAGTGGAGGAAACAGTCTTAATAAAGCACATAGACAAAAAAAATGGATGACATGTTTTTTTTTTAATTAGTTATTTTTTTTTTTAATGAAAGAATATTATGAATTTGATCAATCAATTAACACTCCTTCGTTTTATATTCATTTTATTACTCAAATTTAGAAGGCATTTAATTCTATTTTAAGAAATTTATTTTTATAAATTAATTAAAATGTTGAACTATAAGTTTATCTATTATTATATAAATCAAAGGGAGATTAAGCTTTTTTTATTGGTCCGACATCTTTTCTTTCTTAGAACTTCCATCTGTTTAAAAAAAAATTTGGCAGCGCTTAACTTTAACTATATATACTAAGAAGATTGTCGAAATACTTTGCAGGGCGAGGAATTATTTCGTTAAATCGGTTGTTAATTTCGTCGCATTTGACGAAATGTGACGAAATTGACGTTGACCAATTATACGACCAAATTTTCATAATCATCAAAGGTATGGCCAAATATTGATTTTATATATAACAGTATAGTGATGTAACCAAAAAAATGATTACCCTTTGTCTTATCATCATGATAAAAAAGAAATGAGAGAATAATCACCATGGTAAATATCCAACGTTACTCTACATAATGAATTGTTATATAAAATGCCATGTATAAAATCATTAAAACCCTAGGTTCTCAAAAAATGTATTTTTAGCATATGCGTTGATTTTGTTTGAACCTCAAATTTCAGTATGGCATGATCGTAATGTTATGAATACATTAGTTTTGAGGTAGTGCCGTTGGTTTGACAGGCTATTGAATAGTAAAATAGTTTTTTTTTTGATAAGTAAATAAATTTTTTTAGGGTTAATCATCACTCTACTGACCAGTTACACACACAATAAGATTTACATGTAAGCTCATTAAGTCGGATGCAACAACCAATCGAGTTTAAATGTGTGTAGGGTTTGAAAGAAGGGACCAAAAAACAAATCGGCTGATATGGTAATTACGTACTACCAGCAATTTTCCAAGTTGATGCATGATGTTAATATATTGGCTGAATGTTTGCACTATATAATAATAAAACAATCAATATATTAATATGTATAGGAATCAATCAGCAAGTATCACAAATATCTGAATTGATTGGCTAAATTAATTTCGTCAATTTCGTCAAAAGATCCTTGGCAATAAATATGAATTTCGTCATGTACAATTTCGTCAACCATTCTTAATTAATTAATATATACAATCATTTGAAATTTCCTTTTTTTAAACAAATTCTACATGAGAAATGACCTTTTTAAGGTTAAATACGTCGCACTAAATTAAATTCATCATATTCTTTCGTTAATTAATGAAAACTTTAAATTAGACAAAAAATCCCGTGATTTTTATGAAAACTTTGAGCTTGGTAAAAACTTCAAAATTCCGTTGAATTATGAATTAAGTAAGTCCATTTAAAATATCTTGAATATATATACACAGCGAGACTGTGTTCAAAATCATATTAGTATACTAACACTTAAATCATTTAAAAGTTGATAATAATAATGCCCAATCCTTCTTTAGCACATAATAATAAAAGTAAGTTACATCATTTTCTAAACTTGAGCATTTAAAGTTGCAGATAGTGATGTTAGCCCGCTAAAAAAAATTTTCTTAACACTCATTTTACGTCTAGGATTTTAGTGTAGAATTCAATGGCATAGACATTTAGTTGAGATGGGTCCACCTACATTACTTAGAATGACAAAAAAAACATACATTTACCCAAAAAATAAAATACAATATGTACAGAGGGTGATCACGGGTTTCCGAACGATAAGTATTTTTTATTTTTTTTTGCTTTGTTTACATCATTTACGCGTATATTTCTAATTTAAGCATTTATTTAGCATGTAGATCATAACAATAACAATAATTCACAAATACAAATGGGTAAAAAAAAAGAGTTAACGGCTGAACAATATGGGGCAATTCTTTATGGCCACAAACGAGGTGATTCATATCAGAAAATTGCTGACAATGTCCAATGTGGCAAAACGACTGTCCATGATGCGATAAAACGTTTCAAAAAAACGGGTTCTGCAATACCAAAAAAACGTTGCGGCCCAAAGCCACTTTTTGATTCCAATGCACAAGCCTCACTCAAAAAGATCATTACACAAAATTCGAAGCATCGCCGCCTCACCACTCATAAAATTCAGGAATTATGGATTAAAAAAAAAAAGAAGAAAGTTTCAACTGTTACAATTCGTCGAACCCTTAAAAAAGTTGGTTTACGTTCATGTGTTGCTCGCTCTAAACCATTAATTTCTGAAAATAACAAAACCAAAAGATTGGCTTGGGCTTTGGAACGAAAAGATTGGACAATTGCAAAGTGGAAGAAAATTGTATGGTCTGATGAATCAACATTTAGTCAATTTTCACAAGGTCGTAGCTTACGTGTGTGGCGTACACCAGAAGAAGAATTTGATCCTTCTTGTTTAACTGCTACGGTAAAGCACAGTCCCAGTCGAATGTTTTGGGGGTGCTTTTCGTGGCATGGGATGGGACCACTCGTTCCTCTTCGTGAATCTGTAACAGGACAAACATATGCGAAAGTGTTACAGAAGCATGCTATTCCTTCGCTTTATAAATTAGTTCCTCGCAATCAAGGAATTTTTCAAGAGGATAATGCTCCACCTCATCGATCAAAGATTGCCGCCGATGTTCGTAATGCCTCAAACATTCCTGTGCTACCCTGGCCTGCACAAAGTCCTGATCTAAACCCGATCGAGAATCTTTGGAATGAAGTTGATAAAAAGGTGCGCAACTTGTCTAATCAACCTAAAAATTTGGAAGATTTGGAGCGTAAGGTAAAAAATGCTTGGCGTTCAATTCCTCTTGAATATATTCAAAAATTAGTTGAAAGTATGCCCCGTCGAATCCAAGCGTGTATAGCAGCCGAAGGTGGAGCAACAAAATATTAAATTTTTAATAAAACATGTAAAAAATATTCGGAACAAGTAAATTTTCATTTATTTTAAAAAAAATATTAATATAAATAAATAAATGTAAACGGTTTTTTAATCGTTCGGAAACCCGTGATCACCCTCTGTATATCGTAGCAGGATAAAAGTCATATTTTAATTCGAATTATTATTATTCATTCTATTCGAATTATTCGTTCTATTCGAATTATTCGTTCTATTCGAATTATTTATTCTATTTGGATTATTCATTCTATTTGGATTATTCATTCTATTTGGATTATTCGTTTTTTTTATTCATTTATTCGAATAAAACTTTCAATATAATTCGAATACTCAAGTTCATAATGAAAAAAACAAATAATTTGAACCATTAAATGCGAGTTATTATAATAACAATAGTAAATAATAGTGATAATAATAACGATAGTAATAGTATCAGTACCAACGATTTATTTGATCAAGATATTTGCTAAGCGATCTATTTGGCTAAGCCATTCATTAGTCACATTGCTACACTTAGTCGCGTGGGATGCGAATAAAAATTCCCTAAATTTAATATTAATATTAAAGTATTAAATGACGTTTATTATTATAATGTAAAATAAGAAATGAAATAAGAAATAAGGAATAAATAAATAAAGATATAATAATAAATAAAGATATAAATAGAAATAAAAAGATTCAATTCGGAATTAGGATATTTCGACCAACAAATCAGCTTTAAATACTAACTCCAATAACAACTGCATGCAATTTGAAAACAAAAATTCACTTTCATTTTTTTTATAAATACTCTTACAGTAATCCTTATACAATTTGAAAATCAAGAAAAACTTGACAAAAATTATCTGAACAAATCAAAATGAAATTCAATATTTCTCTTCTCTTTTTGATTATCTTTGCTGTGGTGGCTTTAGCAAGCTCAACTCATAACAATAATTTGGTGAAGCGAAGTAAATATCATTATATTCATATAATTGTTTTTAAAAAATTACTAACTATTGGGTTTCATTTGATTTTAAATAATAAATAGGCCTGTAAGTATTTTTGTACTATTATTATAGTCAATATCATTGTTTTTTGAATAAATATTAATTATTGGTTTTCATTTTATTTTAAATAATAAATAGTGTAAGTATTTTTTGTACTTTTATTACACTCAATATCATTGTTTTTGAAAACATATTAACTGTTGGCTTTCATTTTATTTTAAATAATAAATATAGACTGTAAGTATTCTTTCTCATCAATTCACTATTGTCACAGTCAATATCATTGTTTTTCTGAAAATATTAACTATTAATTTTTGTTTTATCTTAAATAATAAATATAGTGTGTAAGTATTCTCATCATTTCACTATAGTTACAGTCAATATCATTGTTTTTCTGAAAATATTAACTGTTGATTTTTGTTTTATCTTAAATAATAAATATAGGATGTAAGTATTCTCATCATTTCACTATTGTTACAGTCAATATCATTATTTTTGAAAACATATTAACTGCTGATTTTCGTTTTATTTTAAATAATAAATATAGCTTGTAAGTATTCTCATCATTTCACTATTGTTACAGTCAATATCATTGTTTTTTTGAAAATATTAACTGTTGATTTTTGTTTTATCTTAAATAATAAATAGTGTGAGAGTGTTTTTGTCATTTCACTACTAATATCATTGTTTTTGAAAACATACTAACTGTTGATTTTTGTTTTATTTTAAATAATAAATATAGCTTGTAAGTATTCTCATCATTTCACTATTATTACAGTCAATATCATTGTTTTTGAAAACATATTAACTGTTGATTTTCATTTTATCTTAAATAATAAATATAGGGTGTAAGTATTCTCATAATTTCACTATTATCACAGTCAATATCATTGTTTATTAACTGTTGATTTTCATTTTATCTTAAATAATAAATATAGTCTGTAAGTATTTTCATCATTTCACTATTAATATCATTGTTTTTGAAAACATATTAACTATTGATTTTCATTTTATCTTAAATAATAAATAGTGTGTGAGTGTTTTTATCATTTCACTACTAATATCATTGAAAACATATTTATTAACTGTTGATTTTCGTTTTATCTTAAATAATAAATATAGTATGTAAGTATTCTCATCATTTCACTATTGTTACAGTCAGTATCATTATTTTTGAAAACATATTAACTGTTGATTTTCGTTTTATTTTAAATAATAAATAGTGTGTGGGTATTTTTATCATTTCACTATTATCACAGTCAATATCATTGTTTATTAACTGTTTATTTTTGTTTTATTTTAAATAATAAATATAGTATGTAAGTATTCTCATCATTTCACTATTGTTACAGTTGATATCATTGTTTTTGAAAACATATTTATTAACTGTTGATTTTCATTTTATCTTAAATAATAAATATAGCCGGTAAGTATTCTCATCATTTCACTATTGTTACAGTCAATATCATTATTTTTGAAAACATATTAACTGTTGATTTTTGTTTTACCTTAAATAATAAATATAGGGTGTAAGTATTCTCATCATTTCACTATTGTTACAGTCAATACCATTATTTTTGAAAACATATTAACTGTTGATTTTTGTTTTATCTTAAATGATAAATAGTGTGTGAGTGTTTTTATCATTTCACTACTAATATCATTGTTTTTGAAAACATATTTATTAACTGTTGATTTTCATTTTATTTTAAATAATAAATATAGGATGTAAGTATTCTCATCATTATTATTACTACAGTCAATATCATAGTTTTTGAAAACATATTAACTGTTTATTTTTGTTTTATTTTAAATAATAAATATAGGAAGTAAGTATTTTCAACATTTCACTATTATTACAGTCAATATTGTTGTTTTTTGAAAATATTAACTGTTGATTTTCATTTTATTTTAAATAATAAATATAGTTGGTAAGTACCCCCATCATTATTATTACTACAGTCAATATCATTGTTTTTGAAAACATATTAACTATTGATTTTTGTTTTATCTTAAATGATAAATAGTGTGTGAGTGTTTTTGTCATTTCACTACTAATATCATTGTTTTTGAAAACATACTAACTGTTGATTTTCATTTTATATTAAATAATAAATATAGCCTGTAAGTATTCTCATCATTTCACTATTGTTACAGTCAATATCATTGTTTTTGAAAACATATTAACTGTTGATTTTCGTTTTATCTTAAATAATAAATATAGCAAGTAAGTATTATTTATTATTACAGTCAATATCATTGTTTTTGAAAACATATTTATTAACTTTGATTTTTGTTTTATTTTAAATAATAAATATAGGCTGTAAGTATTCTCATCATTTTACTATTGTTACAGTCAATATCATTGTTTTTTTGAAAATATCAACTGTTGATTTTTGGTTTATCTTATATAATAAATATAGTCTGTAAGTATTCTCATCATTTCACTATTGTTACAGTCAATATCATTGTTTTTGAAAACATATTTATTAACTGTTGATTTTCGTTTTATTTTAAATAATAAATATAGAATGTAAGTATTTTCAACATTTCACCATTATTGCAGTCAATATCATTGTTTTTTTTGAAAACATATTTATTAACTATTTATTTTCATTTTATTTTAAATAATAAATATAGTGTGTAAGTATTCTCATCATTTCACTATTGTTACAGTCAATATCATTGTTTTTGAAACATATTAACTGTTGATTTTCGTTTTACCTTAAATAATAAATATAGAATGTAAGTATTCTCATCATTTCACTATTAATATTATTGTTTTTGAAAACATATTAACTGTTGATTTTTGTTTTATCTTAATAATAAATATAGGAAGTAAGTATTTTCAACATTTCACTATTATTACAGTCAATATCATTGTTTTTGAAAACATATTTATTAACTGTTGATTTTTGTTTTATTTTATGTAATAAATATAGTATGTAAGTATTCTTCATCATTTCACTATTGTTACAGTCAATATCATTGTTTTTCTGAAAACATTAACTATTGATTTTCGTTTTATCTTAAATAATAAATATAGTGTGTAAGTATTCTCATCATTTCACTATTAATATAATTGATTTTTGAAAACATATTAACTATTGATTTTCATTTTATTTTAAATAATAAATATAGGATGTAAGTATTCTCATCATTTCACTATTGTTACAGTCAATATCATTATTTTTGAAAACATATTAACTGCTGATTTTCGTTTTATTTTAAATAATAAATATAGCTTGTAAGTATTCTCATCATTTCACTATTGTTACAGTCAATATCATTGTTTTTTTGAAAATATTAACTGTTGATTTTTGTTTTATCTTAAATAATAAATAGTGTGAGAGTGTTTTTGTCATTTCACTACTAATATCATTGTTTTTGAAAACATACTAACTGTTGATTTTTGTTTTATTTTAAATAATAAATATAGCTTGTAAGTATTCTCATCATTTCACTATTATTACAGTCAATATCATTGTTTTTGAAAACATATTAACTGTTGATTTTCATTTTATCTTAAATAATAAATATAGGGTGTAAGTATTCTCATAATTTCACTATTATCACAGTCAATATCATTGTTTATTAACTGTTGATTTTCATTTTATCTTAAATAATAAATATAGTCTGTAAGTATTTTCATCATTTCACTATTAATATCATTGTTTTTGAAAACATATTAACTATTGATTTTCATTTTATCTTAAATAATAAATAGTGTGTGAGTGTTTTTATCATTTCACTACTAATATCATTGAAAACATATTTATTAACTGTTGATTTTCGTTTTATCTTAAATAATAAATATAGTATGTAAGTATTCTCATCATTTCACTATTGTTACAGTCAGTATCATTATTTTTGAAAACATATTAACTGTTGATTTTCGTTTTATTTTAAATAATAAATAGTGTGTGGGTATTTTTATCATTTCACTATTATCACAGTCAATATCATTGTTTATTAACTGTTTATTTTTGTTTTATTTTAAATAATAAATATAGTATGTAAGTATTCTCATCATTTCACTATTGTTACAGTTGATATCATTGTTTTTGAAAACATATTTATTAACTGTTGATTTTCATTTTATCTTAAATAATAAATATAGCCGGTAAGTATTCTCATCATTTCACTATTGTTACAGTCAATATCATTATTTTTGAAAACATATTAACTGTTGATTTTTGTTTTACCTTAAATAATAAATATAGGGTGTAAGTATTCTCATCATTTCACTATTGTTACAGTCAATACCATTATTTTTGAAAACATATTAACTGTTGATTTTTGTTTTATCTTAAATGATAAATAGTGTGTGAGTGTTTTTATCATTTCACTACTAATATCATTGTTTTTGAAACATATTAACTGTTGATTTTCGTTTTACCTTAAATAATAAATATAGGTTGTAAGTATTTCATCATTTCACTATTATTACAGTCAATATCATTGTTTTTGAAAACATATTAACTGTTGATTTTTGTTTTATTTTAAATAATAAATATAGGAAGTAAGTATTCTCATCATTTCACTATTATTACAGTCAATATCATTGTTTATTAACTGTTGATTTTCATTTTATCTGAAATAATAAACAGCTGGTAAATATTCTCATCATTTCACTATTATTACAGTCAATATCATTGTTTATTAACTGTTGATTTTCATTTTATCTTAAATAATAAATAGTGTGTGGGTATTTTTATCATTTCACTATTATTACAGCCAATATCATTGTTTTTTTGAAAATATTAACTGTTGATTTTTGCTTTAGCTTAAATAATAAATATAGAGTGTAAGTATTCTCATCATTATTATTACATCCAATATTATTCTTGAAAAATATTAACTGTTTATTTTGTTTATTTTAAATAATAAATAAAAGGTAAGTATTTTTATTATTTACTACCATTACCATTGTTTTTGTAAGCATATTAACTGTTGATTGATTTTCATTATATTTTAAATAATAAATAGGCAAGTATTTTTAATGTTTTACTATCATTACAGCCAACATTATTCTTGAAAAATATTAACTGTTTGATTTTCAATTTATTTTAAATAATAAATAGGCAAGTATTCTCATCACTTACCATTATTACAGTCAATTGTTTTGTAAACATATATTAACTGTTGATTTTATTTTAAATAGAAAAATAGAGTAAATAGGCTGTAGGCTCTTTGATAACTTTGTTTATCTCTTTAACTTTTTTTACTTTCATCTTATATTTATCTTTGTTTTTTATTGTTAGTTAAAATTTTTATGTTGCTTAAGATTCATGCAAATTATAATGTTTATATTATAACATAGGAAGTGAAAATAAATAAAATAGTTCATACACAATAAGTGTTTATTATAATTTGAAAAGATTTATATGTGTCAATTTAATGAAAATTAATAAAGTTACATCCAGTGTGTGAAATTGAGTGTGGGCACGCATGTTGCATTAAAGGTAGCCAATAATCTATTAGCAGGATTTGAGCATAACGGACTGTAACAATCCTCG